ATATGCAAAAAGAAAAAAAAAGCCAACATAAAATTTAAAGCTTATTTTTACACCATTATTACCAATTGGGTTATAATTTCCTGTTTAATTTGTTGTATTTATTTATTTATTTTGATCTATTTTCCTATTACTGATTTCCTTGAAAAGTGAAGAGATTTAGCTTGATGAAGCGTGTTGACTTTAACACAGAGGTAATGACATACTCATTAAATCGGAGAATTAAGCTGAACATATCTGAAATACATGCTGGGAATCTTGTATCAAGATAAGAGTAGCATCATGAAACCGTTTTTGTGCCGAAAATCCCACTGGGACCCAATTATGAAAGCATGTTTTGGCTTGGAGAAATAAAACAGTTGTTACTGCACGTGAATGGGATTGGTTTCTATAATACAATCTCAAACCTGTTCAACAATCTGTAAATCTTAATCTCATAGATAAGCTCATTATTCATTGTATTAACACGAGTCACTGTTTATAAAAGCTGACATGCCAAATATAGCGCTATAAATATAGAGCCAGACAACACGGTAAGTATGATCTGAGCTTTGCTCACCATTCAAAATTTTGCTTACTATTCAAAAGTTTGGGGTCTGTAAGATTTTTAAAGTATCTTAATATTCACCAAGATTGCATTTATTTGATCAAGATATAATAATCAGTAATATTGTGAAATACAAGTTAAATAATGTGAATTACAATTTTAAATTATTGTTTTCTATATTTAGTATATTTTACAGTTTTACAAATTGTGATTTTTTTTCCCCCCCAATATTCTTTGATGAATAGAAACAGCAGCATTTATTTGAAATAGAAATCTTTTGTAACATTGTGAAAATCTTTCCTGTCTTTTTGATCAGTTAATGCATCTTTGCTGGCAAAAAGTATTAATTTCTTTTGAGAAAAAAAAAAGAAAATCATACTGACCCTAAACTTTTAAACCCGTATATAGCTATAAACCAAAGCTGATGATAAGCTCATAATGGTCACATATTGGTGAATTTTTCAACCAATATATTGGTGCATGACTGCTATTGAAAGAAATTAGAATAATTTCTTAGAAATAATTAAAAAAAAAAATTCTTAGAAATAATAAAGAGATTCAGCATAAATCAGTCTGACATCAAATTAGCAAATATAGTTTCAAGTCTGATGTAACAGAATGCAAGGAGTCTGCATATTATAACCAGTGTTTTAATAAAAACCGAAACTTCAAATACTCCAGCTATGCTGAAACTGTCTTTGAAAGCAGAACCTTAGCCACTGTTATTATCCACTCAGAATTAACTTGTCTTTCACTCACCTTGTTCATGTCAAAAGTGCGGAACATCTGCTCGATGTAGGCATTGGCCTCTGAATCCAGACCTCGGAGCCCGAAGAACTGTTTGAGATCCATATTACACGATTTATATAAGATCGTAATAGTTGATATCATTCAAAAGCTAACATATAGTCGGTATAACATGAACGAAATGCGTCCTTTGAGATGATACAGTTTTAGGGTTCTCAAGAAATTAAGCCTATTAAAACATTCAGAGATCCAAAATGCTGTCTATTTCTCTTTTCTCATAGGCTTAAACGAAGTGAATCTTGCTAGATCTGTTCCATCTTCTCTGGAAAGTTTCTAAAAATGCATTTTGTTGATCATGACAGTACTTTGTTCTCAGAACACAGTGTTTTAAGATACAGATTAGGAGGTATTAAGATTAGTATAGACATCAAACGTAAAGAAATTACTTGTGAGTCCAGAGAGTTCCATTACAGAGACATTTCAACACTTTAACAGTCAATATGATGTTTTGGATAAGTAATAATATAGACAATATTCAAAGCTTGCTTCAGACTATGGGGTACTGGCACACAGTCACAATCTACCCATAGGAAAACTTCAATGGACCCTTTTCACAGTCTGTGATGATGTGTTTTTATAGTTACTACCATTGTAAATCAGCACTATACAGGTGCTTCTCAATAAATTAGAATGTCGTGGAAAAGTTCATTTAACACATACTTAAAACATACTTACACAATAAAAAAAAATTATATACTGTGTATATATATATATATATATATATATATATATATATAAACATTATTATTACTTGAAATTAATAAACATTACATGAAATGACAAAAGCCAAATTAAAACAGAAAATATAAAAGTAAAATAAAAACAACACTTTAGGATTAACTGTAAGGCAAAACCAGCTACTATGAACTCAACCAACTTTTCTTCATTGTTTCCTTCCGGTAAAATACTGGTTTAGACCTGAAAAACAGGTGTTGTGTTCAGTCTTCAGTCTATCAGGTGCGGTTATAACAGTGGTGGACTCTTCTTTAACCTCTAGACCTCAGTGCTTTCATGAGCCCTTTGAAATGAACAAAAACTCAAGATGGCAACGTACAACTTGAGTAGTACAGAAACACTACAAAATTCTGTATGTACTGATGCATTGATATTGTTCTCCTTGGAGTCTATAAATCCGTTTAAGGATCCAGGAACATCTCCTATGAGTTCATAAGAACTTTATGTCCTTCATCAGTCTGACTCTGTTTCGCTGCTGGAGAGCGTCTCTTTGGATGTCCCACTGCGTCTTCTGGTCCACCAATGTAGTCTCCTATGGATAGAATCAAATGCCGCTACCGTGTGTCTGGCAAACACTGATGTCCACTTGATCACTTCGGCAAAACAGTTCACCGAATGAGATACAAAGCTTACAAACACTGTGATGTAGTGTGCCAGAAGAACAAGACTGCGTCCTAACTGTTTTCCATAATTAATAATCATGTTAAGCTTTAAATCATGTCGTCCCATTCTGTTTTGAACCATGATGTAACTCCAAACCTAAAATAATTGTTGTAACTGGTTACTATTATCTCTTGCAAACGACCATGCCTACTTTATTTTGCTTCTACGTTTTATTTTTGTGGACGGTCCCTTGGTGTAAAGTCATGCGGCTCTCAGAGTCACTAGTAGTTTTCACACGCTCCCTTGCGCGGTCCAATCACAGCGCTGCGTTTCTGTTTCCGGGATGTTTGGTGATGTGGCTCTAAAATCCTGGAGACGAAATTGATCAAATAAACCACGCAGCTCTTCCCTGCGCCGATTACTCAGGTCAGTTTCATGCTCTAATAACATCAACAAGATGCCTCTAAATGTATCCAGCCGCTGACATGCACAAACACAAGTACGTTTATAAATATCGATAGAGTTGTTTACGAGTCATCAGCACGAGCCCAGTTACAGCTTGCGCTCATTACTGTCGCTCATTGGGCTTTAATAATGCCAGTTTATAACAAATATAAATAAATAAAAGTCATACCTTTATGTGTCTCGACCATTTGTTCTTATACCAATCGACTTTAAAACGCAAGGAAGAAGAGTCGCTCAATAATCTTTGCTGTTGTGTAGACAAAATGAAAGCGACGCAGCCGCAGTCGTCAGTTTCTATGTTTCGGCGTTGTTCGGTTCTGTTCGTTTTTCTCCGCTTTGTGGCTGTCAAAGGTGGGTATTTATTATCAGGAAATATAGAGAGATATTGTTACTGTTATGCAGGCGTTCACGACTTCTGTAGATATTGTCAGTACACGGGACACATTGCGTAACAGACTTGAGCTCATCAAGTGTTCTAGTTATGCATTGTGTATTTTGAGTTATGCATGTGATGTACTTAAGTTACAGTCTTTGTCCCGTCATAATCTGTGAGAATTACAACAAGTATATAGACTAACCAAACTGTAAGATCTTTTCCTTTATGCAATATATGCATTTGATTTATTAATGTGGTGTAATGCAATAGAGGCGTGATGCAGAACAGAACTGTTATATTTATATAAACTGAATGCCAAACTGTAAATTAATAGTGAGTGCCATTTAATTTAGAGAGGCCATATGGTATTTCAAAGGTGCTTTCACGTGAGATGTGAATTTGATTTGAATAATTCCCATGGTTGTATTCCATTGTATTACTAGTTGTTGGTTGCCTGATGTGGGATCTCGAGAGCCAAATGGGCGTTTTAGCTTATGTGGTCAAGGTTCACCAAAGCTCTGCCCTCCTGGAACACTAAAATTACAATTTTCATTAAATCTGTTGTAATGTATTGGTTAAATTTTAAACTATTGATGTTGTTGTGCATAGGTGTGAATTGGGCCAAATGGGAAGTCTATATCGGTTGTTATTGCAGTCTTTATCTGACTTTATATGATTCTGGTTTATCTATACTTGTGTCAGTAATGCACACAATACAGAGCTTGATGATAAAATACTCAAACACTACAAAACAAAGATATGCACTAACATTTTATTGCATATCTTTACATGCAGGTCAGCCATGTTTAGCCGGCTGACCCAAGGGGTGTCTTCTGTCCTCCAGGAGCTCTCGGGTGAGGAACGCTCCGATGGAGACCTCCAGGTGAGTAGACAAAATCTGAACTATCCTTGGAGTGATATTTTGGTTCAATACCAAGAAACTTTGTGGAACACACATGGACATTGCAATTACCCGAATAATTATAGTAACTTATTACAAGAGCTGAAAGATCTGATAATAGCCCACATTTAAGTACTTATTTACAGATTTATGAGTTAGTTTACAAGCCGTTTACCATCTTAAAATGGGTCACTAAAGGCCCGTTCACTCCAAAGACAATAACTATAACAATAAATATTTAGTCAATCTAAATTTAAAAGAATAGCAGAGTCTATAAAACAACTAGGCCTATAACAATAACAGCACAGACGACGATATCATTGGAATCACTTTCAGAATGATTTTTTTCCAGCTGATGAAAGATAAAAACCAATCAAAATCCATCCGACTATAAAGAGCTTGAGCATTGAAAATGGCAGACGACAAAAATGCAGCGAATACTTACAATAAACAGGCTGTTATTATGCATTATGCTAATATAGTTATCTTTACAGTAATCGTTCTTAGTGTTAATGGGCCTTGAGAATAAGACAAGCATAGACAAACAAGAACAGTGCTGATTTAACACCAGTTGATATTAAAGTTGTAATGAAATGGAAGTAGCTTCCATATTGTGACATATCTGAGTGTAACGAGTTAACAAAAAATAAAAAATGTAGGGTGCTGCTAACTTGGTTCTATTCATCGGTTGTTGATTGGATTTTGAGATGTGGGCGTTGCACTCAAAAATAATGAGAGCTTGCAATCTATTTGCAATTCGCCAAAACATAATATAGTTATGAATTGCCATGAGATTGTGTTGAATGAAACACATACATGGATGAATTGTTCACAATAAGATCTAAACACGCATTTGAAAAATAGGGTGAATTTAATATTCAAGTCGATATAATATTAACATGCGGTTGGGGGAGAGTGATTAACCATCTATAGGGCCCTCTATGATTTTGGAATGTTGCCTTTGGAGCAGGATGGTCCGGTGCCTCAGCCCCAGCCTGATGCTGAAGCATCCCTGGAGGGCTCGGGGACCTCAGAAGAGGTCCTGGAGAGGCTGGCCCAGACCGAACAGCTGGTGGTTCAGCTGAAGGAGCTGATTCGAGAGAAGGACAGCCAGCTCGCCAGCACTGAAAAACAGCTCAAGGTGTGGACTTGCATAATGAGAAAAGAACAAACAAGTAGACCATGAATGTCAGCAGGTCTGAAGCTTGATTTTTGCATTTGTGACTGTTTGTTCTGATACAGGAAGAGAAAGAACAGGCAGAAGTCAAGTTTACAAAGCTTAAACTGCAGGCCAAAGCCAAGATGGCTGCCCTGAACAAACGGCTCAATGAGCTGAAAGGACAAGAAGCATTGAACAGCAGTCAGGTAAAGAGACAAGCTGACATATTTGTGTTATTTTAAGCATGAAGTGGTCTTGGATGGCTTAATATAATTAGTGGTGTATTCTATTGTTCGTCTATATATGGGCGATTGCCAAATTCATTCAACTTTTCAGTACGGCAGTATGATAATGAACTGTTTTTTTTTTTTAGAATTCAGAGAGCTCCTTCCAAATGGCTCCAGGAGTGGAGGAGGAACTCCAGCAGCTGAAAGAAAAGCTCAGCCAGGCAGAGTCCGCTAACAAGAACCTCCAACATCAGCTCTGGGAGGCCGAACAGCGTGTGAGAGAGGAAGGTCATGCAGAGCAGGTATGCTCACAGGTCAAATTATTCAAGCACATGAATAAGTGGTTATGTCGTTCAAATCTTTAAATGTGTCATATGATGGTCAGTTCTTTTGCAGGTACTGTTTTATTTCTGTAATAAACTAATCTCAGACCTCTCACGTCATCCAGGTGCGAATTCTGCAGGCTGTGGTGAAGGACAAAGATGTGCGATTTCAAGAACAAATCCTCAAACATGAGCAGGAACTCCTTAATCTCACGCAGGTCTCAAATGACCCTGACTTACAGCAGGTGTGTTTGAATTTTTATGTTCCACAAAGAGTGCCTACTTTGATGTTTTTGTAACACTTTAGATTAGGGAACATATATTCACTATTAATATTATTACTATTATGTTTAGATATTGGGTAGGGTCTAGGGTCTATGGTTGTGCAGAATAAGGCATTACTATGTGCTTTATGAGTACTAAAAATACTAGTAATATGCATTGTAATAAACAACTAGTTAATAGTGAATAGATAGTGTTTCCTAATCTAAAATGACTAAATATAATTGAGCTCTGTCCCACATTTTGAATTAAAGTCTTGTACGGCATGATTTCCCCCAATTGAAAAAATAAAACATTTCTTAGATTTGTGACGTCCCACAAAGTAACATCATTTGACACTTTGTATAGGCTGATGGTAAGACAAGTGAAAATTGTCGTCCATTCTCTGTTTTTTCACCGATTATAAGGTTGACTGCATTTGTCAAGCTCATGTATTCAATCCTGTTACCAAGTTACTGTAAAAAAAAATAAAATAAAAATAACTGGATGATTATAAACAATAAAAGTTTATCGGTAACTATAAAAGCAACATTAGGGCCCAAACTATCCCCTACTGAGTTTTAGCTTAATTTAGGTTAAATTCAAAACCTTGTTACCCAGTATGTTTATAATTTATGAATGTATTTAATTTTATGATTAATTTGTTGATTAGTATTACAAATTTGTTTAGTTTTATTCTTTTTTTGTTACTATGTAGGCTTTATTTTCTTCTAAAATAAGCATTTTTTTATCAGGCTCCTATGTGTAGGTTCAGTAATTTTACTTTAATGGCAATGAATAGGTTATTTTCATTGCCATTAAAGTGAAATAACTGAACATAAACATAGAAACCTGAGAAAAAATGCTCATTTTAGAAGCAAATTTCAGACGGCACTTAACGGCTTTTGCATCTAAACTCTTCATACACACGCACGCACACACACACACACACATATAAATGATGCATCAGTAAACAAAGATGTAAGATGGGGAAGAGCAGCAATGCCAGAATAACATTGTCTTGATGTTTCCATATTTGTTGGCTTTTTGTTTTGGGATACCCTGTGGTGTTGTAGCCATATTTGTGTGTTATTATAAAGTATGAAATCATAGCTCATCATGTTACCATGGCAATTTTGATCTAAGCTGTCTTGCATGGTGCATGCATTTCCACATTCTTGTAAGCAGCATCCAACTCCTCTTATGTTTTTGTTCATGTTGTTGGAAAGGAATTAAGAAAGAAAGGGCATATTAACACTGTGTCTACACCGAGCAAGATAAAAAAAAAACATAAATCAAACCCTGCAGCTTTTTTAGGAGGTCTTTCAATACACGTAGTTCTATTTCACTTTAATCCTACTTATTGTTTTGCAGGCCCTTCGTGCATCCCAGCAGCGCATAGAGGAGTTGGAGGAGTCCTTGCGCTCTCGTTCAGAAGTCCTAGAAATGTTGCAGCAGGAACTCAACAGTGCAGACCAGCAGAAACAGGTCAGCACAACACGTATAGTTTACACTGTGTCCTGGTAACTTTTTGAAAGCAAAATATGTTAGAAATCATCACAGTCAATTAAGAGATTTTTTTTTCCTTAACACCGTACAGCTTTGTGGTGATTTTCAGCTGTTGAGATTTCACTGAGGATAGGGATGCCCAGCAGTGTGATTAAAAATAGAATTCAAGTAACCAACAGAATTTCTTGTTGCATGTTGTGGTTACAGCTGGTTGGACTGAAATCTTTTTTTTAGGATTATAAACCTTTTAGCAAGATGAATGTATAAACATGATGAATGTTTCATTTGTGCAGGTTCTGACTGCTCAGTTCAGGCAGATGGAATTGGAGTTGGCAGAAGCCCGGCGACTGAGAGAAGAGGAGAGGCAGCAGTGGGAAATGAGTGCTGAGGAAGAACTCCAGGCTCTCAGAGCCAGACTAGAAGCTTCAGAGAGTGAGAGAGAACAGACAGTCAATTCTGAGTTACTGGAAAAGACCGCAGAGATGGATGAAATGAGAGCAAAACTTGAATCTGCTGAAAGAGAGAAAGAAGAAACGCTGGAGAAATTAAAAGATAAAGAAAATGCCATTGAGGCTGAGCTGGCCAAAATGAAAGTATGTCTAGAAGCCAGATTGGAGACATCAGAGAGTGAGAGAGAGCAGACCATCAGTACACTCAGCATCAATGTCACACAACTTAATGCTGAATTGCTGAAAAAGACCACAGAGTTGGAAGAGATGAGAGCGAAGCTTGAATCTGGGGAAAGAGAGAAGGAAGAAATGCTGGAGAGAATGAAAGAGAGAGAGACTAGCTTTGAGGCAGAGCTGACCAACATGAAAGTATCTTTAGAAACTAGATTGGAAACATTAGAAAATGAAAGAGACCAGAACATCAGTGCTCTCAATGCTGAGTTACTGAAAAAGACAGCAGAGGTGGATGAAATCAGAGAAAAACTTGAATCTGGGCAAAGAGAGAAGGAAGAAATGCTGGAGAAAATTAAAGGGAGAGAGAGTACCTTTGAGGCAGAGCTGATCAACTTGAAAGTATCTCTAGGAACTAGATTAGAAACTTCAGAAAATGAAAGAGACCAGAACATCAGTTCTCTCAATGCTGAGTTACTGAAAAAGACAGCAGAGTTGAATGAGATGAGAGCAAAGTTTGAATCTGAGGAAAGAGAGAAGAACGAAATGCTGGAGAGAATGAAAGAGAGAGAGACTAGCTTTGAGGCAGAGCTGACCAACTTGAAAGTATCTCTAGAAACTAGATTGGAAACCACAGAAAGTGAAAAAGAGCAGACCATCAGTGCTCTCAATGCTGAGTTACTGAAAAAGACCACAGAGTTGGATGAATTGAGAGAAAAACTTTCAGCTGAGGAGAGAGAAAGTCTGGAGATGTTACAAGAGAGACAAATAAGGTTTGAGACAGAGCTGGCCAACTTGCAAGCCTGTCTGGAAGTCGCTGAGAACCAGAAAGAGGAAATGACAAAGAAGCTAGAGGTAGAGGTGGCAAGCCGCATGGAAGAGCTTCATCAACTTCAGGAGAAGCTCAATGAAGTGGAGAGAGCAAGGGAAGAAGAATCTAAGAGTGAAAGAGATCGCTTAGCACAGATGCAAAACGAGTTTGAGTCATTAAGAGAGACACTGGATGCCAATAAAGAAGAACAGAAAGCAGGACTGCAAGCCAAGGATGCACTGGAGAAACTTTGGAGAGGGATTCAGATTTTGACAACTGCTGGGGAGGCAGAGGTGGAAATATCCATTCCTACTGACCCTGCACAATTCTTAGAGGTGTTACCTGCTCTAGAAGCTCGGCTGAACAACCTTACAGACGAACAGCAAGAGAGTCAAGCATGCATGTCCCAGATCACACTTACTCTTCAATCTCTGCAAGGTAAACAGCCCAGGAGAACAAAGTTCAAAGCAGTTTTGTGGTTTCAGTAAACTGTCCTTGGAAGCGTTTTATCAAACAATGCCACAACGTAGGGCAAATTGTTTGTACTGTGATCAAAAAGTAATTGTCTTAACACACCTGATGCTCTAGGTCAACTGGATAAGAGCACAGCTGAGAGAGAGGAAGCAGTTGCTAGGATACAGGAACTGGAGCAACAACTTCTCACTGTTCAGGTAGGTGGATTGCAAAAATATGTTGCAGATTTAAACATTGCTTTGCAAAATACAACAGATGACACTGATAAATATTTATTCTTGTTATTTGTTTTTCAGTACAGTAGAATTTGAGTGCAATGCAATTAATAAGAGCTAAGGAAATACTTTCACTCATACTTAGGTGTTAGGTATTCAAAAAAAGGTACTTGGGGTTCTTGGTATTAAATCTGTCCTGCATTATATATGCTATGGACATGAATGATACTTAAAGTTGTATGGATTTTTGTACAGAGCTCTGCTGTTACTTTGCATGATCAGATAATATTTGCACCCAATGACAAAGACAAAAAAAGTTATGAATGCAATGGAGTTGGTGCACAGAACAAGATGTACTTGTTGAGGGCAGTGCGTCTGCTATGGCAAACTCATTTAGTATATAGCATAAGCTGTGTCTGGTGCGACAGACGCAAGGTGACAAATGCCTAGACGGTTTGTCTCACAACTTATCAGGTCAGAGATATAATCCTCTTCACTTTCATAATTTGTTTTTTTCTATTACTGGCCCCCCACATATAAGGGCACAGTTATTAAGTATTAATAAAGGTATGGTTTGTAATAGCATTGAAATACCTGCAGTTATGGTGGCAATTCAATTGACCAGTGCACTCTCAATAAGCATGCATTAGTGTAAGCATACTGTTTGTTGTAACTGGGGCCTGTCTTTCCTAGGTTACTGGTGAGTCATTATGTGATCATGTGACTGACCTGTCTGTGAGAGATTTGGACAGGACACACCAGGGTGAGTCTAATGTTTGCCCTTGTGTAGCTGAATGTACTTTGAACTGCAGTGTTTCTTTCAGTGACAGCAGTCCCATGTTCTTCCATAATAGCCTTGCTCTCTAGTGGAGAACATGCCCTTTACCGTTGTGGTTTGTAAACTTGTTTGTAATGTTAAGATATTAGTTAGGACAACCAGAAAGACCTGTTCCCCCAGTCAAAACACAAAACAAAAACAGGAAGTTTTTTTCAGATTTATTCTTGAAACAATGTTTTTTGTTTTTTTACATGATGCATCTTTCATGTTTAATTTTTAGTTATTTGATGATTTTCACATGGTTGTCTCATTATTTTTTTTTCTTCTCACAAATGCTACCCTCAGATAACAGTGGAGATGGACATAGTTCAGAAAACAAATTTCAGACAGATCAGATACTGTTTCTGGAGCAGCAGCTTGCAGAAAGAGAAAGGGAACTCTTTACTCTCAAAGAAAAACTGTCACTCTCTACAGGCAAAACTATTCCAGAGGAGGAAAGAGCCGACAGCCCGAGCAGAGAGGACATCGCTGGGTTGCACGACAACTCTACAGCTCTGTCTGAGGTTCTTGAGGGCACACAAGAGGAAGAGACAACACTTGTGGCAGTTGACACATCTGTTCTGTCTGTCTCTGCTGGCAATGAGAGTAGCCCTGAGCTTATAGCACCCCAGCCTGAGTCTCCTGGAGAATCAAAGGGTACCTCCTCGGATGAGATGGTGACAAGCAGTGACTCAGAGGTGGCTCATAGTAGCTGGACTCTTCTGGAGGCAGTTAACCAAGATGGGACTCAAGAGTGGGTGCCCCGATAACAGTGGAGATGGACATAGTTCAGAAAACAAATTTCAGACAGATCAGATACTGTTTCTGGAGCAGCAGCTTGCAGAAAGAGAAAGGGAACTCTTTACTCTCAAAGAAAAACTGTCACTCTCTACAGGCAAAACTATTCCAGAGGAGGAAAGAGCCGACAGCCCGAGCAGAGAGGACATCGCTGGGTTGCACGACAACTCTACAGCTCTGTCTGAGGTTCTTGAGGGCACACAAGAGGAAGAGACAACACTTGTGGCAGTTGACACATCTGTTCTGTCTGTCTCTGCTGGCAATGAGAGTAGCCCTGAGCTTATAGCACCCCAGCCTGAGTCTCCTGGAGAATCAAAGGGTACCTCCTCGGATGAGATGGTGACAAGCAGTGACTCAGAGGTGGCTCATAGTAGCTGGACTCTTAGCTGGCAGTTAACCAAGATGGGACTCAAGAGTGGGTGCCCCAAATTCAGGACTTTGCCTCATTACGCTTATCCACACAATCTTGGGAAGAGACCTGCGAAGAGCATGTTGCATCAACTAGCTGCATAGCTGAATCACCATCTTTAGTTATCCATGAAACTGTACAGGTACGTCTTGGCCAACAGGAGGGAGGTCTGCTAAATACAGATTCAAGCACTGGTCAGGCTTTTGCACAGGTCTTAGCAGAAGAGATTCAGAAAAGATATAGTGAACTTCTGGGAGAGCTTCAGCAGTTGAAAGACACAGCTTTACAATCACAGGAGAGAGTCTTCCAGCTGGAGGAAGCATTGAAGTCACTTACAGATTCCAAAAATGAGGTTCAGTCCAAGGCAAATATATACGAGAAAGAGCTGATTGAAGTTAAGGCATTGTTTGAGCAAGAAAAAATAGATAGGCAAAATGTTGCTGAGCAGTTTGAAAACTTGCAGGAAGAGGTTTTCTCTAAAGATGACAAGATGAAAGCCTTACAGGCAAGCCTTGATGAAGTCCATCAAAGACTTGTTGAACAAGAAGGACAAGCTAGAATGCTGGCTGCTCAACTAGAGGACAGAGAGCTCACTTCCTCCGAACTAGAGCAGAAGTTTGTGGACATGGAGGGCAGGTTAGTGCATGTCTCTCAGGAGGCTGATATGGCAAAAGCTGCTCTCATTGACAGGACTGCTGAGCTGGAAGGTCTACGAAAGTGTCTTTCACAGAAAGACCAGGAGATGATGGAACTCAATGAAAGCATGACTGCCAAACTACTCCAGGCTGGAGAGGAAAAGTTTGCAGTATCCAGTGAAGTCAAAAAGCTAAAAGAGCAAATACATGAACTTGAGAGTGTCAGGGATGACCAGCTGAAACTCATAGAGGATAAAACAGCAGAATGTGAGGAGCTTGTTGCTTTACAAAAGGAGAATGATGACTTGAATACTCAAATAGCTGCCGTGAAGAAAGATGGAGAACAGGTCAAGAGAAAGCTGCAGGCAGCTCTTATACAGCGGAAAGAATTGATTAAAAAAGTTGCAGACTTTGAGAAGGAGGCTGAGAGCAGGGAAGAAAAGGAAAGGGATGGTAATGAGGAAATAACACTTCAGTTCAAAAATGAAATTAAGGACAAAGAGAAAGAAATACAGAGACTTGATGTTTTGTTGCAAGAGACCAGAGATGACTTAAATATAAAAGAAGAGACCTTAATAAGTCTGAAACAAAAAATCAGTAACCAAGATCATGCATTGACTGAGTCACGTGCAGAAATAGAACATTTGACTGAGCAGTATGTACAACTAAATGAACAACAAATGTCACAGATGGCTGAGGACAAAAATAGGCTTCTTTCACAGATAGCGTCCATGGAATCTGACATTGAAATATTGCATAAAAAGCTTCAGGAAGCTACTGATGATCATGAGGACGCTGTTGTGAAAGCTCAAGAGAAAGATCGCCATCATCTTGAGCAGATGAAACAACAGAAAGAGTACAGTGACCTTTTTGAACGCCTCCAAACTGAAGAGAGAGAAAAAACTGGGTTGTTGAATCATATTGTGGAGCTTGAGGGTCTGCTAGAATCAAAGAATGATACAAATAAAGTGGTGAGTGTGAATGTGGAGAGGAATGTTGGGTCTGCTACACAAAATCTAGAGAAACCAGAGACAAATGATTGGGTTCAGGAGGACTGGGTGGATTTTACTTCAGCTGAAACTGAGACACAACAACATAAACCTGGTGAGCAATCTCAACAGCCCATGGTAAAAGATCATGAGGACATTATAAATGCTCTCCAGGAGGAATTAAGAGTTGAGCAGGCTGCTCGTGCAGAATTTGAGGTGCGCCTACAAGAGAGCCAATCCTCTCAATCACTCACTGATAGCAAATTCAAAGAGCTTTGCAAAGAACTTGAAGCCTTGAGAGAAAAGGAGAGGCAGATTGATGCTCTCACTGAGGAAATGGAGGCTCTTAGGGAGAAATGTCAGAGAGCCGAAGCTAATGCAGAGAAGCTGAAAGCGGAGGTGGATGAGGCTTGGGAAGCAGCTAAAAGAAGCATCTCAGATGCTGAGTCCCCAATCAAAGCACTTCAGTCAGAAGTGGAAGAATTTAAGCAATTTCTTAAAAACAAGACTGATGAGATTGTTGATTTAAGCCAACAGCTTAGTGAACAAAGTTCCCTTTTACTTAAGATGCAGGAAACTGTACTGGAGAAAGATCAGAGGATTGCTTCCCTACAAGAATGGCTTAAAGCTGAGCAAGATAAGGTTCAAAAACTGGAAGCAGAAATGCCACAACGTGAGGAAGACGAGAAGGATAATAGTGCCAAACTCCAACAGCTTCAACGCAAACTGCAGGCTGCTCTTGTGTCACGTAAGGCGGCGCTCAAAGAGAAACAGGTGCTAAAGGAGGAACAGACCGCTGCTGAGAAGATCAGATTGGAGCTACAACAGAAACTGGAGTTAATAGAGGTGGAGCTGAACAAGTCAAGAGAAGAGAGGGAGAAGTTAATTGAAGAGGTGGATCGAACTTTGTTGGAAAACCAGAGTCTGCATGCCTCATGTGAGAGCCTTAAACTTGCCATGGAGGGTGTTTTGAATGAGAAGGATGCATGTAAACGTCAGGCTGAGAGTGCCAAAGAGGAATCCAAACAAGTGTGCAGACAGCTGGAAGAAAAGGTGCAAAGTATGAAAGAAGAGTATGAATCCCTCCTCAAGTCATATGAAAATGTAAGTGATGAGGCTGAACGAGTGAGACGAGTGCTTGAAGCTGCTCGACAAGAGAGGCAGGAGTTAGCAGCCAAGGCACGAGCTCATGAGGCAGCTAGACAAGAGGCTGAGAGGCTAGCTGAGGAAGCTATGAAGGAGGTGGATGTTGTGAAAGAAAAAATGAGAAAGTTTGCCAAGGTTAAGCATCAGAAGATTATGGATCTGGAGGAGGAGAATGAAAGGCTCAGGGAGCAGGAAGAGAAGAAATTGACCAAACATACAGATACTGAGCTGAAACAAGAGCTTGAGACCTTGAAAACAAATAATATTGTTATGGATGGAAAGAACTCTTTGGAGCATGAAGCTGATGAGTTGAGACAGCGTTTGGCTGAGGACATTGACAAAAAGGGCAGTGAGAACCTGGACACATGCTCCGTGGAAACCATTAATGAGGTTAAAATTGTCACACAGCAGAGAAGTCCTGATTTAATCGAAATTCAAGAGTACCAGAGTGATAGTATTCCCCCAGAGGCCAATCCCACTAAGCCATTGGAATCCATTGGTACTGCTCTTGAACAAGAAGTGCAAGCAAATGTTGAGATGACTGCTCAAACAGAGGTGAGGCTCAAGGAACTGGAAACCTCTCTCAAAACAGCAGAGAATAAGATAAGGGAACTTGAAGCTGCTCTTGAATATCACATTGAATCCAGAAACAAGCAAGAGTCAACGCTGGGTGCAGAGTTTGCTTCCCTCAAGCAGCAACTTCAGGAGTCTTCAGAAAGAGAGTGGCTCCAGAAGGAAGAGCTCTCTACGAAAGAGACCCAACTGCAAGAACTTTGCACTAGCCTAGAGACTGAAAGGGATGACCTGGAGGAGCGGTTAATGAACCAGCTGGCTCAGCTCAATGGCAGCATTGCACGCTACCAGCAAGAGGCATCTGACAGTTGTGATCGCCTCACAGACATGCAGAGGGAATTGGAGAAACTGGAGAGAGAGCGGGCTGAGCTGGAGGCTGAGGTGGCAAGTGAGAGGGACCGGGCAGCCAGGATGGAAGAGGACATGAGGCAGGCACAACGAGAGAGAGCAGAGGCAGAGGCTGAGGCAGGCAAACAAAGAGAGCTGGAGCAGAAGTTGATGTCAGCGCAGAGGTTTAAAGAAGGTAGTCAAAACAGGACACGTCAACTTGAGGAACTGCTGAGGGAGAAGCAAATGGAAGTTCGTCAGCTACAGAAAGACTGGATTGAGTACCAGGAAAGAATAAGTGAACTGAGTAAAGATGTTAAGTCATTGACTTTGGAGAGAGATGAGGTGAGTGCAGAACTTGAGGCAGCACGCTTGGAGATTGCAAAGATTATGCAAGACAGAAAAAGTATTGCATCTGAACTTTCAACATGTAAAGGGAAACTGGACATGGTGCTGGAAGAAGCAAAGCAGGCCCAAGCAGACAAAATAGCTGCTGAACAAATGGCACAGCGCAAAGAGGCCGAGTTGAAGGCAGATGCGGAGCGTACCCTGGATGAAGTCAGGTATCGCCTTGGAGCCGAGCTTAAACAGATGGAATTAAGACTGGAGAAGTCTTACCGGGAGCAGGAGAGGGAGGAAGAGGCAACTCTTAAGGCAAGGAGTATTGCTGAGGCCGCAGACAGGCATGCCCAGGAAATGCAGGCACGTCTGGATGAAGCACTTGCTCGGTTAGCAGCCTTTTCGCGCTCCATGTCGTCCCTGCAGGATGACCGTGATCGAGTGCTGGATGAGGCCAAGCAATGGGAGAGTCGTTTTCATAGCGAGCTACAAGAAAAGGAGGCTGATGTTCAGGAGGCTGAGACCCGTGCTAAAGAACTTGCTGAGCAACTCCAGAGGGAGACCACCCAAAAAGAGGAGCTGCAGAGTTTATTGGAAAGGTTTGTTTTCTCTTGTATTTTGTAAAAAAAAGTTTTATTAATTTCTGGAAATTTTACTTCAACTTAAAGTATATTTTAAATAATGAATTTCTGTATGTTTGCAGAATGCAAAAGGCGGAAGAGAACCTACAGCTAGAGCTGTCTGAGGCAGAAAAGAAACATAATGAAAGCTTTGCAGCTCTTGAGAAAGAAAGAGGGGATCTGCAGCAGAACCTCGCTCTGGTAGAGACCAACCTGACCCAAACTCGTTCCCAGCTGACTACCCTGGAGACAGAGGCAGAGGGACTACGGCACCGGACCAAAGCTTTAGAAGAAGCAGTAGACAAGCTTCAGAGTGATGCTAATGAGGCACGTGCAGTGATCAAAGAAAGGGAGACAGAAGAAAGGAGACTATGCTTGAGGCTGGAGCAACTGGAAACAGACCTGGCATCTTCAAAGAATCTTACTGACAATCTTCAGGCAGCATTGGATGAGAAGGAGAAGAGGGAAATGGAGCTCCTTGGTGAGAAGGAGCAAGCTGTGACACAGGTACTTAATATTCTGAAAATAAAGTTTCTGAAACAAACACATGCATATTCATTAATCTCATTGTAGGGAATTTAATACCATAAAATGATATATACTCTTTCTCTTCTTTTAGGCTGTAGAGGAGGCTAGGAAGGATGCAGATGGAAGGGCCGAGATGGCAGAGAAAGAGCTGGAGAAGAAGAGAGAGGAGTTGCGTAGTTTAGAAGAAAGGCTTCGTAAGGCTGAGGAGGACACCTTCCAGAGCAGAGCTCAACTTGAGTCCTTTACCAAGGCTATGGGCTCCCTGCAGGATGACAGAGACAGAGTGCTCAGCCAATACAAGCAGCTAGAGGAAAGACATCTCCAGGTAATGTTGCTCGAAATAGATTATATTTTAAAAATATAAACTAATTTGCATTAATTAATTTGTATAAAGTAGCCTATCTTTTTGAATTCTGACTCGTCCTTGGTCTCATGTTCTCTCAGGTTATGATGGACAAGGACAGTCTGATCCAAGAGGCTGCAGGTGAAAACAACAGTTTAAAGGAGGAGATTCGAGCCTTGTTGTCACAGCGGGATGACCTCAATGCTGAGAATGCCAAACTGGCTGCCCAACTTCATGGCTACAGAAATGACCTGAACCAGGTTCTTGCTATGAAGGACTCCCAGCACAAGCAGATTCTTACTACCCAAGTAGAGCGCATCAGTTTCCTGGAGAGAGAGAAAGAAGATCTCAAGAGCCAAATTCAGGCTCTTGTAAAAGATGTTGCACAAGGAAAGGTACCTCCATTGGAGCAGGAGATCTTGAGCCAAGCCAGTGAAGGGATTGTTAGAGCCGATAAGCAAGATGCACCAGGGGCCGAGGTAGAGAAGCTGAGGGAACAGCTCCAAGCTGCTAGAAAGTGCATCGCCACCTTGGAGGAGACCTTGGAATTGGAGAAGGAGACCCAGGCAGTCCACAGCAAAGAGTTGAAGGAGCTGCGCTGGGAAGGTGGTGTTCTGCGCACTGAAGCTGAAACAGCAGAGGAAAGGGTTGCAGAGTTGGCACGGGACCTGTTGATGATGGAGCAGCAGCTTCTGGAGGAGAGGGAAGCAGCCTCTCAGCTTCGAGCTCAGAATCAGTCTTTTGGTCAAGCCATGACCTCTCTGCAGGATGCAAGAGATCAGGCTGTCAATGAGGCCAAGGAGCTGCGTCTCCGTTTAGATGAGATAAACCGAACGGGTCACCCAGCTTCTCCTCCAAGTGGCTCCAAAGGAGAAGTGTGGAGCCTAAAAAATGCCCTGTCAGCACTGCAAAATGACAGAGAAAGAATGGTATGTTATTAATTACTTGATCATTTATTGGAAACCTAAGTGGTCACATTTTATTTTAAGGTCCAATTCTCGCTATTAACAAACCATTAACTATGACTTTTGCCTCAATAAACTCCTCATTTGCTGCTTATTAATAATTAGTAAGGTAGTTGTTAAGTTTAGGTATTGGGTAGGATTAGGGATGTAGAATATGGTCATACAGAATATGTGCTTTATAAGTACTAATAAGCAGCCAATATGTTAATAATAGGCATGCTAATAAGCAACTAGTTAATAGTGAGAATTAGTCCCTATACTAAAATGTTACCACCTATGTCTTAGTTTTTGCATCCTGCCTTCTTCTAATAACATTTGCAACCTGTTAATCGCACCTCAGTTGGAACAGCTGCACTTGCAGCGGTCTGAATTGGATCGACTTGGATCAGGTGAACTATCCAGGCTTACTCAGGCTCTGGAGGATGAGAGAAGAAGGGCAGGGGAGCAAGAGGAAAAGATCATGGCAGAGATGAGGCATAGAGATGCACAGATGGACAGATATAAGCAAGAACTGGAAATGCTCAGGTGAGACTTGACTCGTGAATTTATTGCCCTCTGCCATTTTGGTGATGGTCTTTTAGAGCCATGCTTCTGACTGTTGGAAGTCTGGTCCCTTTCGTAGTTTATTCTGTCCAGTTATATTGGTGTGGTAAAACGACTGTTCAGACATCTTCAAAGAAGTTAGCCGAAAGTGTTAGTAGACTTAGGGACCATAGTTTCTAACTTCACTGAAAGTGAAAAACACTGTTTCTTACAATTGCTTACAAATGTTTTCCATGTATAGACTTGAGAGGATGGACTGGCAGGGCCAGGTCGAGCTCTTGAAGCAGCAGACCCTGACCACCCTCTCAGAAAGGGACCAACAGGTTCGCCAGCTTACTGCCATGCTGGAGGAAGCACAGTCATCAAAATTACGGCTTGAGCACACACAAAGACAGGTAAAAAGCTCTAGTCTCATTTTCAAATATGAGATATTGAAAGCAACCTAGGAATGTTGTTTTCCGTTAATCGATCTGCCTTGTTTTGTGCTATTCTAATTGTATTCTTTTCACTGTACTCCTGTTCATTAATACAGTATGTCTGTTGAGTCTGTTGAACACCACTGTATGTTTAAGTATAAATCTGAGAAGTCCTTGATCTTTTGCATTGTCTTTAGTGTATAAGGCATTCAATACTACTTTCTTTGTCCCTTAGGGAAGCCTTGCAGTAGACGCTGCCCCTGGTGGCCCTCTAGAGCACAACGAGGGCTTTAAAGCTGAGTGCATTGAACTCCAGAGAAGGTACTGCTGCCAAGTTTAGTCTTATCATTAATTATACTGATCCACAGTTGCATGCTGTCAATCTCTTTAGCACCTGTGCCACAAACTGCATTGATAGCAGTTGTAGATAATACTCCAGCTAATAGCTAACATGCTACTAATACTGTATTTGAAAGGAATTTTACGCATGTGATATGTACAACACGTGTTTGAACACTGTAATAAAATTGATTTTCTTCTCTGTTTGGTCTTTTTTCCTATCAGTCTTATCGATTTCCTTTTTTAATCAATGGCTATTGTATTGTATAATACCTATGCTGTACAGTAACTCTTCAACTGTGTGTGTGTTTCTTTTAGGCTGGATGAGGAGTCAGAACAGAGACTCAGAGTAGAGGAGCAGCTCATCGCTGCACAGGATCAACTCAAATGGTTTGACACTTATCTCAGATTAAGATTAACTCACTGCCCCTGGCTCTAGGCGTTATTGCTGCAGACTGCTTTAGTGTGAAATATAGAATACAAGACACATAAATTGTCATGTCATTGTTTTAGATACAGAATATCAAACCAAATCATCTGGAGCTTTACTGAACTACGTAACTTTTGGGGCCACTGCATATGGACCAACTGCAGTTTTTATTCACATATTTCATGCCTCACTTTTCACATTTAAAAACTAAATATTACAATTTAACTTCTTCATTTACAGCTATACACAGGGGGAGTGGCAGACAGCATCTGAAGCCATGATGTCAGAGACGGCTGTACTTATTGAGCCTCCAGAGGGCGCCGTTACACGGGTAAACAACCCCTCAATGCCATTGTTTTAACACGCATAAACATGCTATTACAAATCAAATTTCTGATTTAATGTATTATTTTATTATTAAAGCCTGAGTTTTTTTATCTAATCATATATAGTTTATATTTTTTAGATGCTAAACATGCTATTACAAATCAAATTTCTGATTTAATGTATTATTTTATTATTAAAGCCTGAGTTTTTTTTATCTAATCATATATAGGATATATTTTTTAGATGTATCTTCTTTTTTACCTTAGACTCGTAGTGGTGGACCTGGGCTACTGCGGATGCTGCGAGTTGCCTTCTGCTCTCGTCAGCGAACCCCTCTGCTGGTGTCACTCTACCTGCTGACTGTTCACGTGCTGTTGCTGCTATGCATGGGAGGATATCTGTGAGAGAGAGACAGTTACATGCTCATTCACTTATTATACAAAACAAATGGACACATTATTTAACACAGGGTCAATTTACATTCTTCTATGAATAAGTTTCCTTGCTTAATTACCAAAGTTACATCTGATCTGTTTGTGTTCTTTTTTTTTTTTTTTTCAGAGCGTTCTGACAAAAAATAATTTCCACCCAGTTTTAATGGGGCTTGTCCAGACTAGTAACACTAGAGCACTACCCGCACTTCCTCAAGAACATTATTATACCCTTTAAGAAAGCCCAAATTAATGAAGGAATTTTTAAGCGTCTGGAAAAGTAGATGAAGTTGACAATGTCAGCATCTGTCAATTTAAGGGTCTTTCACATTGCCTGTCAAATGCATAAAGGTAGACAACTTATTTTGACCACATTCCAGATTCCTGTAATTAGTTTTCTTTCCTGATATCTCTATTTCTGCAAAGTCATAGCATTCAGATGTAATCTAACGGCGAAGCTGATACAGATACTGGATGCGTCTGCATGGCAAGACGTCAAAAGTCTTCTAGAAGTGTCCTAGTGTGCTGACTGTTTCCTTTCATGGCCGACTAGTTTGCCAGCTTGGTGCAATACTGTCATTTATATTTGTTCATTTTAATTGGTGGTTTTTCGGTTTATTTGTTTGTTTTGTTGGTGTTTATTTTCTGTAACACACTACACATCATGTTCTTTACATCTGGACTACTATTGCTTTTATTCACCCTTAAAGACGTAAATGAAATACTTTGAATTTCTTTAGATTTTGATTCTGTTTCAAGTATAAAACGCTTCATCAAATCATTCATGTTCTGCTTATTTCCAGTTTTCTGAGCCAGAACTGGACATCCTATTCTCACTTAACTACTGTCACTCTGATCTGTCTGGGCTATATAGGGATGGTTTAGATTGTGGTTGAAATATTGTCTCTATTTACAGTGAGATTTTAAGAACAGCCCAGTGAGTGTTTTATCTGTAAAGTCTGTATAAATGATCCTTCCTCTCCCTCCTGCTACCCTGTTGTAGGGGCTATTTTTTGGAAATAAAGTCTATTTATGGGAAGAGGCACATCTGGTGTGTGACTGCATGATACAATGAGTTTTTGGACATGGTGGTGCCATTGCAGCAAGATTTAATAAATAGACAATCATAAATAGATTTTCTTTATCAATTAACTTCTATTAACTAAATTAAATCAACATTTGGTGTGACCATCCTTTGCGTTTGAAGCAGCTTTTGCCCTCAGTGCACTTGCGCAGAGTTTTCAGGTAGCTTTGCGGGTAGGTTTCTTGAATCATTGCAGACGTTGCCACAGTTCTTCTGGATTTACTCTCTCAGTTTGTTCTGTTTCTTCATGTCATTCCAGACAGACTGGATGATGATCAGATCAGATCTCTGTGTGGAGCACTGGCTGCTGTCAGACTTCTTGTGCAAACAAAAATCTCACTGGATTATTACAATGAATGGCAAAATGAATGTTTGGAAATGTGAACTGATATTTCCTACTGACACACTACAGCAAAAGATAGAAATTACTGACTTCAAACCATTTTTTAGCTGGTGAAAATACTAGTGTTCTAATCATTTTGGCCACCACTGTAAATGAAAATAAATCCCAAATTAGACTGGGGATTCTACTTTTCTAAAGTAGCATTGAAATTAGCATCGAAAAGGATCCCCACACATCCAGAGATGAGGACAAGGTCATAGAGACTGGGCTGACTTCATAAAGCAATTTAAAAACGCACTAGCAAACTTACCAATGGTGAAAACTAACCACAATGCTTCACCAACCACTCCAAACAACAGTGATCGTCTACCAGTGGTCTAGCAACCACCCAAAACATCCTAGCAAATGCGCAAAACGACCCCAACCATCCAGGAAAGCAACCACCTATGGTTCAGAATCTGTTCAGAATCTTGTATTTATGAAATTTTGTGTTTGCAAACACAAAATTTCATAAATACAAGAATCATAATGCTTATATTACATATTAATTAGTCTGTGTTTTGAGGTATTTGGACCAACTAAAAAAATGAAGATGAGTATTTTAGTGTATTTCTATGCTTTAACGGGTCAACAATGCACAGTTAGGACTCAGCTGCGCGTGAAGGCGTGTCCGCCGCTTCTTCTTCTGCAGTCAGTCATTCGAGCGCAGGTCTGATCTCCCCCTGTGTCGCCTCACCCTGACACTGAAATTAACATTTATCGGACAAAACGCCGAGGAAAAAAGCATTAAAACGTGAGTAACCATTGTTATCTGCTCATATTGTTAATAACGATGAATCAAGAAAAACGCATCTACTTTTAATCAGGAAGTGGTTGATACAACGCAAGTTGCCAAAACTTTTTCGTTTCAGGAAGTCAAAGTTATATATTTCTGTACATTATCTGTACGTTACTGTGCTTGCATTACAGTGTTCATGGTCTTGATTGTTGTTGAAATTAAAGTGTGAAGCTTTTTAGTCGTGAACGTGTAAACATTTCCATCTGACGTTCTAGAAAAATGAGGAACTTGCAAAGTGCATTAACACTTGTTTTGTTTATGAAGACATTCTAGGTATTCTAGATTTCCATAAAAATCTAAAAGATGTGGAATTACTTAAAAATATGTAGAATTACAACTTCAAGCTGTGATCCTGATGTTTTACTCTCTTGATGACACAGCAGAGCAGTTGTAAAATAGTCAATTTGCAAGTTTACTACAAGATGATTAGAATCAGTCACTTAGTGATACATTTATTCATGCATCATACTGTATCCGTAAATATTTGTTATGTTTATTGATGCATTTTGAGCATAATGCATTCAATACTCTGTATAGTTTTGTAACGAGCCATGACATCTTTGCTTGTCTCTTTCTACAGATGTGGAAATCTGTGGTGGGACATGATGTTAATGTGAAGGTCGAATCGGAGGGGGACGACTGGGAAACAGATCCGAATTTTGAGGTAAGCAGACCTGAAAATAAATGCAAGGTGCTAATCTAAATGAGTTGTTTAGAGGTAGGTTTTCTTAAAACATAACACATTTTATTATTTATTATTGTATAAATGAAAATGTGTCTGTGTTATCAGAATGATGTATCAGAGCAGGAGCAGAGATGGGGTTCCAGAACCATAGAAGGATCAGGTCGAAAAGAACACATCAGGTAACAGTTAGAGATGCTACATGTTATAGAAAAGTTGAATAGATCTACAGATTTGAGATAGTATAATAATATAGCAGGTTGGTTTAATGGCACCATGTTGCATTGAACTGAAAGCACTGCTAAAAAGAGTGACTCTCTGCAGAGAGGAAATAGGAAGTAGAAATGCTGCCGACATGAGTTGCATTTCCAAATATGGACTGATCATTTCAAGCCTACATCATGTCAGAAGCGGAATAAGATGTTGCACTGACACACTGCATTTTAAATATAAGATACATCTGTATTATTTACAGTAATAATGTTAAAAAATATAAATGAGAAGCACCATAAACAAGTGCAAAGAGTTGAGTGCATAACAAAAGTGCCATTACATTCCATGGTAATATGCAGATTAGAATCAGTCACTTAGTGATACATTTATTCATGCATCATACTGTATCCGTAAATATTTGTTATGTTTATTGATGCATTTTGAGCATAATGCATTCAATACTCTGTATAGTTTTGTAACGAGCCATGACATCTTTGCTTGTCTCTTTCTACAGATGTGGAAATCTGTGGTGGGACATGATGTTAATGTGAAGGTCGAATCGGAGGGGGACGACTGGGAAACAGATCCGAATTTTGAGGTAAGCAGACCTGAAAATAAATGCAAGGTGCTAATCTAAATGAGTTGTTTAGAGGTAGGTTTTCTTAAAACATAACACATTTTATTATTTATTATTGTATAAATGAAAATGTGTCTGTGTTATCAGAATGATGTATCAGAGCAGGAGCAGAGATGGGGTTCCAGAACCATAGAAGGATCAGGTCGAAAAGAACACATCAGGTAACAGTTAGAGATGCTACATGTTATAGAAAAGTTGAATAGATCTACAGATTTGAGATAGTATAATAATATAGCAGGTTGGTTTAATGGCACCATGTTGCATTGAACTGAAAGCACTGCTAAAAAGAGTGACTGTCTGCAGAGAGGAAATAGGAAGTAGAAATGCTGCCGACATGAGTTGCATTTCCAAATATGGACTGATCATTTCAAGCCTACATCATGTCAGAATCTGAATAAGATGTTGCACTGACACACTGCATTTTAAATATAAGATACATCTGTATTATTTACAGTAATAATGTTAAAAAATATAAATGCAAAGAGTTGAGTGCATAACAAAAGTGCCATTACATTCCATGGTAATATGCAGCATGTAGTAACATGCAATGTGCCTGTGTTTGTGTGTAGCATTGCAGAGCTCAGGCAGAATGTGTCTCGGGAACACGAGGTGGTTAAAAAGAAAGAGCTGGACCAGGGCCCTAAAGCCTCTTACGGCTATGGAGGGAAATTTGGAGTTGAGAAAGACAGAATGGACAAGGTTAGACTTAAAAGAACAGGCTGCTGGGTTTGAAAGTCACTTCTATGTGAACTGTGCTTCATATATAGCTACACTGTAGACAATATACCTCTCTTTTTGCCCACTAAATTCACTAATGAGAACCATAGACTGTATGAAAACATGGACGTAGTGTCCGTGACGCCACCCGTAGATTTCTGAACAGCGTTTTTGAAGCTCAGAGTGGGTGGAGCCGGCCATCGCCATCTTGGCTGCGCGTCACTCCCGGATAATCACAACAGTGATTGTCTACCAGTGGTCTAACAACCACCCAAAACATCCTAGAAACGACCCAAAACGCAACCATCCACCAAAGAACCACCACAGCAACCCCCTTTGGTTCACATCTGACCCAAACATAACATTTTATATTTCATAAATAAACACAAGAATCATAAAAATGCAATACTACTTATATTACATATTAATTAATTCGTATTTTGAGGCATTTGGACCAAACATAAAATTAAGATGAGTATTTCAGAGTGTTTTTGTGCTTTAATTTAACCGCTCAGAAATGCACAGGTGGTTCTCAGCTGCGCGTGAGCGCGTGCCCGACGCCTCTTCTCCTGCAGTAAGCGGCGCGCATTCTGATCTGCCGTTTGTCTCGCGCTGACGCTGATACTAATACTTAAAGACAAAAAGACGGAGGAAAAAGAAGAAAAAAAGCATTAAAACGTGAGTGGCCATTGTTATCTGCTTATATTGTTAATACGATTCATACAGAAAAACGCAATGAATTTTAATCAGGAAGTGGTTGATGTATCGTGCGAGTTGCCAAAACTTTTTTCGTTGCAGGAAGTCAAATTTATACATTTCTGTACATTATCTGTAACTTTGCTGTGCTTGCATTACAGTTATGGTCTTGATTATTGTTGAAATTAAAGTGTAAAGTTTGTTTTTAGTCGTGAACTTGTACAGAATTCCGTCTGATGCTCTAGAAAAATGAGGAACTTGCAAAGTGCATTAACACTTGTTTTGTTTATGAAGACATTCTAGGTATTCTAGATTTCCATAAAAATCTAAAAGATGTGGAATTACTTAAAAATATGTAGAATTACAACTTCAAGCTGTGATCCTGATGTTTTACTCTCTTGATGACACAGCAGAGCAGTTGTAAAATAGTCAATTTGCAAGTTTACTACAAGATGATTAGAATCAGTCACTTAGTGATACATTTATTCATGCATCATACTGTATCCGTAAATATTTGTTATGTTTATTGATGCATTTTGAGCATAATGCATTCAATACTCTGTATAGTTTTGTAACGAGCCATGACATCTTTGCTTGTCTCTTTCTACAGATGTGGAAATCTGTGGTGGGACATGATGTTAATGTGAAGGTCGAATCGGAGGGGGACGACTGGGAAACAGATCCGAATTTTGAGGTAAGCAGACCTGAAAATAAATGCAAGGTGCTAATCTAAATGAGTTGTTTAGAGGTAGGTTTTCTTAAAACATAACACATTTTATTATTTATTATTGTATAAATGAAAATGTGTCTGTGTTATCAGAATGATGTATC